CAAATCTATTAGAATGGCCAAAAGCCAGAACACTGACCATACCCAATCCTGGCAGGAAAGTGGAACTCATTCATTCAGGAATTCTCATTCATTGCTGGTTTCCATGCAAAATGGTGCAGCCACTTTGGAAGACGGTCAGTCCTTACACAACTAAACGTACTCTTGCCATGCAGTCCAACAATCTTGCCTCTTGATGTTTGCCCAAAGGAACTGAGAACTTATATCCACATGAAAACCTGCACATGGTTGTTTATAGCAACTTTATTCCTAAGTTCCCAAGCTTAGAATAAAAAGATGTCCTTCAGTTGGTGAATGGCACTGTGGTACATCCTGATGACGAAATATTGTTTAGTACTAAAAAGAAATGAGCTATCAAACCATGCAAAGACACAGGGGAAACTTCGATCGATATTACTAAGTGAAAGAAAAAGTGAAAGTGTTCATCGCTCAGTTGTGCCTGACTCTTTGCTGCCCCGTGGACTGTAGCCTGCCAGGCTCCTCTGTCAATTCTCCAGGAAAGAATACTGGAGTGGGATGCCATTTCCTTCTCCAGGGGATCTTCCCAACCCTGGGATGGAACCCAGGTCTCTTGCATTGTGGGCGGATGCTTTACCATCTGAGCCATGAGGAAAACCCTGGGGAAAGACTACATGCATAGGGTTTCAACTGTATGACACGCTAGAAAATGTAAAACAATGAGGCAGTAAAAAGCTCAGTGGTTTCCAGGACTGAGGGGTTATTAGAAGCACACGGAGGGTTTTAGAACAGGGAAACGCTACATGACATGGTAATGATGGATCTGTGTCTTTACACATTTGTCCAAACCGTGGAATGTGCAACACCAAAAGTTAACTCTAAGGTAAATGATGGATTTTGTGTGATTATGATGTGTCATGTGGGTTCAGCCTTGATAAAAGATGATATTCTGTGTATGGTGTTGATAATGAGGGAGGCTGTGTGTGTGTACACACGTACACACACATACAAAGGCAGGGAAGCATCTTCCTCTCAGTTTTGCTGTGAACCATAAACTGTTCTAAAAACTAGTCTTTCAAACAAAAGACAACACAGACTATTCTATGTGTGCACTACAAATCCATATGTAACTAAAATATATATAAAATTAACTGGTTTTCATTATTTTTTGTTTCTATTTTTAATCAAACTCTTCCTTCCCTTTTCATGAGGTCATTTTGATCCCTCCTTTAAGCAGATTCCCTTTCCAGTGCCAAGTGAGTCCAGATGCCGGGTCGTGTCCGGCTTTGGGGTCTCTCTGGCTGTTGCTTTCAGGGTCGTTCCATGTCGCTGGACATGTGCTGAGCAGGGGGACCAGGTGGCCTGTGCCCCAGCAAGCCTGCGGGCAAGGCAGGCTCTGTAGCCCTCCTCGGGGTCTGGGTTCTCTCAGGACACCAGCCAGCCGTGCGGGTCATCGGCAGAGGTTAATGGGGGCGAGTCTGTGCTGCAGAGTCAGCGGCCTCTGGGGTGGGGGCCTTGACCTTCAGCCCAGGTTGTGTCTAGTGATAGGGGGGTCGGGTCCTCACACAGGGCCTGTGCTGTGAAAACCTCCCAGTGCCTGCTCCCCGAGGGGTCTGTCCACCCGAGACCCCAAGCGAGACCCACGGAGGAAAACAAAGCAAAACAAACAGGGGCTTTGGCCCTAACAGCAAAACTGCGGCAAGGCCAAGCGGGCCTCTTACTTCCCAGGGCCCAGCATGGCTCGCAGAAAGTTTTTGTTGCTCTTTTCTGTTAAAATTGTGTGCCCCACGTTTCCTTCTCTTTTCTCACACCTTCCTCTCCCTGTCTGAATTTCAGTTCTCGTCTGTTTCCTTTAAGCTTTTATTTTCTTCTTATGCGTGTTCTCCCTTTCTTTTTTTTTCCCCTGGTGCTGGGTTGTCTTGCTTAGAGAGAAAGTGTTTTCTGTCTGGAGTGTGAACTCTGAGAATTGCTGTGTGGCTGCAGATTGTGAAGTGCTGGGCTGCAGTTTCTCTTGCCAACAGCGGTTTGTCCCATGGATCCACTCGCTGAAGAGGAAGCTAGTTTTTGGCGGACATGATACTTGCATAGACAGAGTATTGCAGTTTAACACAGATGGCATGTCTTATTGTATTTTATAATTAATTGTTTTTTCAAGAGTGGTTTCCCTTCTCCTCTTCTGTCCTCTCATCTCTACTCTTTTTTTCTTTATTGGAAGTATATTTTGCATGTAGTATTATATTAGTTTCAAGTGTACAACATAGTGGTTTAGCCTCTTAACCCCTTTCCTCTGTCTCACCTAACCCCCCATTCCCTTCCCCACTAGCAACTGCCAGCTTGTTCTCTGTATCTATGAGTTTGTTTCTAGTTTGTTTGTTCATTTGTGTTTCATATGGTATTTATCTTTCTCTATCTGACTTATTTTACTTAGCATGATACCTTCTAGGTCTATCCATGATGTTGCAAAGAGCAATATTTCATTATACTTTTAATGGCTGAGTATATTCCATTTTGTGTATATACCTCACCTTCTTTATCCATTCATCTGTTGATGGACACTTAGGTTGCTTCCATCATCTTGGCTATTGTAAATAATTCTACAGTGAATATAGGGGTGCATGTATCTTTTCAAATAAGTGCTTTCATTTTCTTTGTATAAATACCCAAAAGTGAGATTGTTGAATCATGTTGTAGTTACATTTTTAATTTTTTGAGGAATGTCTGTACTATTTACACAGGCTGTACCAATTTATGTTCCCACCAATGGTGCACAAGGACTTTGTCTGTCCTCATCCTCACCAATACTTGTTATTTCTTGTCTGTTTTACAATACCCATTCTGGCAAGTGTAAGGAGCTGTGTCATTGTGGTTTTGGTTTGCATTTCCCTGATGATTGGTGATGTTGAGCATCTTTTCATGTGTCTGTTGGCCATGTGTGTGTGTGTCTTCTTTAGAAATATGTCTGTATTTATGTCTTTATGCCAGTATCACATTCTTCATTTCTGTAGCTTTGTAAAATAGTTTGAAATCATGAAGTGTGATGCCTCCAGCTTTGTTCTTTTCCAAGATTGTTTTGGCTCCATGGTTCCATATAAATTTTAGAATTATTTGTTCCCTTTGTTCTCTTAAAATTATCAGGGACTCCAAAGAGTCTTTTGTTAATATAGCTTATAACTATCAATATTTACTGTATTAGAAATTAAAATGGTGTAAAACTGAAAAGACCAGAACTTAGAAATTGTTGTTGTTCAGTCACTTAGTTGTGTCCAACTCTTTGAGACCTTATGGACTCCAGCACGCCAGGATTCCCTGTCCTTCACTATCTCCTGGAGTCTGCTCAAACTCATGTCCATTGAGTCAGTGATGCCATCCAACCATCTCATCCTCTGTTGCCCCCTTCTCCTCCTGCTTTCAGTCTTTCCAGGCATTAGGGTATTTTCCAATGAGTTAGTTCTTTGCATCAGGTGGGCAAAGAATTGGAGCTTTAGCTTCAGCATCAGTCCTTCCAATGAATATTCAGGGTTGATTTCCTTTAGGATGGATAAGCTTGATTTCCTTGCAGTCCAGGGGATTCTCAAGAATCTTATCCAGCACTACAAATTGAAAGCATCAGTTCTTCGGCGCTCAGCCTTCTTTATGGTCCAACTCTCACATCCTTACATGACTACTGGAAAAACAATAGCTTTGACTAGACAGACCTTTGTCAACAAAGTGATGTCTCAGCTTTTTAATACATTGTCTAGGTTTGTCATAGCTTTCCTTAGAAGAAGCAAGTGTCTTTTAATTTCATGGCTGCAGTCACCATCTGCAGTAATTTTGGAGCCAAGAAAATAAAATCTGTCAATGCTTCCACATTTCCCCCTTCTATTTGCCATGAAGTGATGGGACCAGATACCATGATCTTAGTTTTTTGAATGTTGAGTTTTAAGCCAGCTTTTTCACTCTCCCCTTTCACCCTCATCAAGAGGTTCTATGATATACTTTTAAATAACTTCTATGCAGAGTACATCATGTGAAATGTCATATTAATAATTCTCCTGGCAATTTTGATTCCAGCTTGTGAATCATCCAGCCTGGTATTTCACATATATACTCTGCATATATTTTAAATTAGCAGGGTAACAATATACAGCCTTGACATACTCCTTTCCCAATTTTGAACCAGTCCATTGTTATATGTCTGGTTTATAAGTACATATCCCATTAGCCATCAGAGCCTCTGAAAACATCAGTATATTCCTATATCATGAGTGAATTTCTAAGAATATATATATTCTTGTATAATAAGATTTAAGAAGGTAAGTTAAATCTTAATATAACTGTGAAAATAAGTTTGCTATTGCAGGTCTCAGAGCGGGAACTCCCTCGGGTCCTCAGACCACACTGTAAGAACTACTGCCTTAGATAGCTGGTAGTGATTTACTGAGCGCTGTGTGTTGGTATGCCAGCTATGGTGGTGGGGAGGTGGTAAAGTATTAGAGAGCTTTCTTGGTATCCAGGAATTCATATCACATGTGGGTTCCTGCTCCATCCACGCAGAAGACGGCTTGTATATCTGAAAGATGAGTTTATGTATATATTCTGTGAAAATGATTTGCTCTCTCTTTTATGACTATTAAAATTTCAGTCATTAGGATTACAATCTGTATATTTGATACTCATACCCTCAAAGTGTTTGAGTCCGCAGCCTAGCATCACCACAGAACAGTCTTGTGAAACTGAGCCTTTTGATATGGTCACTACCAAGAAAAACTCCAGCGGGTTCACTTATGTTCCTATTATACGGTTAACCAAGGAAATCTTGAAGGAATAGGTGTGAACAACCATATCCTGTTTTCTATTTATGTTCTGGCCTCTTTCAAAAATCCTTTTCTTATAAAAAAATGTGGTGTAAAGGTATCATTTACACTCAGTGAGACTATGTTAAATAACATCATTAATCATTTTCATAGAGCTTTCTGGATATCTCTACCCTCACATCCAAGAATTCAAGGACCAAAATGTAATCACATGCTTGTTCTCTTCAGACAGTTTTGAGGATGCTGGGCCACCAAACAGCCAGATGGTCTCAGAACCCGGAGAAAACGTCACACTCACCTGCCAGCCTAAAGAGAAGTGTCTGTTAGAGGAAATGTCGTGGGAAAAGATCCAGCCCCAGCAGATCGACGTCTTAATAAGCTGCAACTTGTCCCACGGAAGAAGTTACACGTCCAAGTACCCAAGACAGATACTGAGCAACTGCAGCCACGGCATGAAAAAGGCCTTCGTCACCATTCCTAATGTTACAGGCTCCGACTCGGGACTCTACCGCTGTGGCTTCAAAGCCAGCACTGGGGAAAAAGAAACCTTCGTGATGAGGCTGACCGTAACCGACGGTGAGTAGGTGGCGTGTGTCTCCAAGCGTCAAAAATGGGAAAAGCCCACTGCTGTGGGTTGGTTTCTTTTGTCTCGCTCATGGCTTTCTTATACAAAATACCTTTAACAATTGAATTTGGTAAGTTGTCAGTTACTGAATGTTATTCTTTATCTTGCTGATTCGTCAATCCCAGATTTAACCATGATGAGCTTTCCGATATTTTTGGATCTGTCATATTCCAAAAATTTTTTTTAAATTCAGTGAATCTGAAAAATACATGGTATCAACACCCAGTACATTTTGACTATATCATTTCTTTTTTTTTTAAGTGTCTTTTTAAAAAAAAATTGTATTAATTTAATTGATTGATTTCTGGCTGTGCGGGGCATTTGTTGCTGCACATGCTTCTCTTGAGTTGCAGCGAGCATTTCTAGTTGTGGTGTGTGGGCTTCTTATCATGGGGCTTCTTTGCTGTGGGACATGGCCTCTAGGGCCCGAGGGCTTCAGCGGTCGTGGCTCCTGGGTTCTAGAGCACAGCTCACTGGCTGTGGTGCCCAGGCTTGGTTGCTCCTTGGCATGTGGGATCTTTCTGGACTGGACATCGAGCCTTGTCTCCTGCATTGGCAGGCGGGCTCTTTACCCACTGAGCCACCAGGGAATCCCCTCAGCTGTTTAATTTCTAACATTTCAAATCTGTCCAAACTTGCTGACGGTGGTGACTGGGTTTTATCATCCTCGTGGCTCCATCAGCAATGACAGGACGGTGTTCGATTGGTGCCTGCTGAATCAGCGTTGAGTAGAACGTACTGAATGTGGGGCAACGTGCCTGCTCCTTTGCCAGATCCGAGCTCTGGTTCCCTCACTTGTTTTCAGACCTTCGAGCAGGAACAGACTGGCCCTGAAGCTTTGAGACTGACCTTCAGGGCCTCTCACCTGAGCCGGCTCAAGGCCCAGGGCTTATTTTGTATCAGTCATTTGTCTGCTGTGGCATAATGAAGCCCTAAAACCTGTGTGAGAGTAAGAAAAATTGGTATTTCACCTGTTGAAGTGCAAATACAGAGAGACCTGTGCGGACTTGTATAGAAGTCGGTCCAGAGGCCCGAGTTATAGCCTCGCAGGAGGAAGGCTGTCTCAGACTCCCCCCTTCTGCCTCTGGGCAAGGGGAACCTGTCAGAGAAAATAAAGTGTATTTACCGATGACAGAAATTGTATTTCACTGTATTTTCACTCTCTGCTTCCTGTTCTCCTCTCCTTCCTTTCTGCTTTCCTTCCCTCCTTCCCCCCTTCTCCTCCTTCCCCCCTTCTGTCCTTCTCCCCACCCACCATATCTCTTTTCTCCTTTACTTTCACGGGCTTCCGGCCACCTCGTGTGCTTTTAGACCTCTGAGCCGAGGCTTCCTGGGACGCGGCTGCCCTGCAGACGTTCTGCTCACGCTGCCGGCCGCAGCGCCTGCCTGCTTCGGGAAGAAGAGGGGGTTTCGTGTATGCAGCAGCCTCCGCAGCTGTGTGTGCGAAGGATGTTCTTGGCCAGAGGTTAGCAGTTGTCAGTACATGATCACCTTGGACAGCATCAAAGCTTTCTTTGCTTCTCAAGTGAACAAGAGGGTTAAGGCAATGTTGAGTAGGGAGGAAATATTCAGGGGAGAAAAATTAACAGAGGTTCTTCATTTTAAATGGTGACTCCATTCCTTCATACACATAGAGAAAATACTTCTCACCTTAAAGAAATACTCTTGCATTACAGAAGTGTTTTTAACACCTGGCCAGAAAAAGAAAGAATAAAAGCAATCATTAAGTCTTCTCTGGTGGCTCAGTTATAAAGAACCCACCTCGCAATGCAGGAGATGCAGGTTCAATCCCTGGGTGGGGAAGATCTCCCCGGGAAGGAAATGACCACTCACTCCGGTATACTTGCCTGGAAAATCCCACGGACAGAGGAGCCTGGTAGGCCACAGTCCATGGGGTGGCAAAGAATCAGACATGACTTAGCAACTGAACAACAATTCAACAACAGGTCTTCTCTCAGAGACCGAGGTAAGGGAGTGTTCTATTCAGAAACTGTCAAACACAGCTGAAATAAGATCGTGCCCATTATACGCTGAAAGAGTTATTATAAACATCTTAAATCCTAGAGAAAAATGGATTCTTAGGCGGTATAGTTATTTAACTCTAAATAATCAGTAGAAATGTCTTTCACTTATCCAAATATGACTAAATTCCTTGCACAAAGCTATTTCTTTTCTCTGTACATAAGCCACAGACAGTGTTGAAAATGACTGAATGTAATGATCAGTATAGTTAGGGTTCAAATGTTTTGAATACTTGAAAAATGGATCTTTGACATTCAATTGACAGGTTGAAAGAATATCAATTGGGCCCATTAGTAAAACGTTATAATTGACAGAAGATGATAGCTGTTGATTCAATATTTTTCTTTAACTTCTTTTCAAAATAACTGTGAGTAAAATTGAAGATTAAAAAAAAATCAGATGGAAAGCAAAAATAGATCACTTGTGTTTCTTTGATATGATTTGATGATTTCAAGTCCTAGGTCTGTTTGGTCAAAAATCAACGTAGGGATGAAAGCAGAGAGACAGGTATGAGATGTGGAGCTGATCTAATTTATTTCAACTGTCGAGGGAAAGGTGATGGTGACACAGATTTTGTAAACTGCTGGGCATCCTTTTGTGAGCTCCCATCAACTTCTTTTATGGGATCCAAAAGAGATTTTCAGGACTCTCGTATTCTACACACATGCACAGGCATGTACACACACATGTGTGTGCACACACATGCACACGTGTGTGCACACACATATACACACACACGCCTCTTCCCCTGACTTTGCCCACCTGCGTTCATCTTCAGACAAGTACCAGTACTGAAAGGCCACCAAGAAGATGATATGATGTCAATCGATACATTGTATATCCAGGCCTTGAGTTATTTTGAGCAGAGGCAGAAAGTGGCAGAAGCATTTTCTCTGCTAAATGAAATGTTTGTTTCCCCTTCTTTGTACTCAAGACCTGGGAAGTAGTCTAAAATGGGTCCAGACTGAGATTTCTGAAATTGAAGCTTGTCTAGACCACAGGGGCCAGGAACAGGGGGAAATGTAGGTATACTTAAAATGACCAAAATTATTTTGGACCCTTAATATTCTCTGGATTTTCACTAGTCATGGGAAAAGTATTTTAACTTTCATCAGAAGGATTTTTGAGGTCTTCTAATGTTAACTAAATAGCATTCTGACTACAGGTGTTTTTATTGATTACAAAAAGAATGAGGATCAAAGACATGAAAGCAGTCCTCTCAGAAAGTTTCTGGAGAAGACCTGTTTCTAACTCTGCTAAGAAATATCTTTCGTCTTCTGGGATATACTTTTTAAAACTTCCATCCCCTGTAGTTATGACTGCATGTGCCAGGCCTCTAGAAGTTAGTGTGTTAAGCTGAACCAACTTGATTGGAATCGCTGTCCATACATAGGGCTTGTTTTCCAAAGAAAAATATTGTTTAGAGTAGCAAACTTATAAGCCTGCTCAGGCATGTTGTAAAGCCGCTGGAAAAGTAACTCGGAGCAAGTTTTGTGAATGGAAATGTAGTGCTCAAGTCACATTCTGCTTTAAAAAGTTGTAACAAATACAGATGAGTTAAAAAAAAAAAAAAAAAAAAAAAAGAAATATCCTTCTCCAGTCTTTTCCCACTAATGAGGGTATTCAGCTGAACCATCAAGTTTCAAATAAGACTTTGATGATCAGAGCAGAAGAAAGAGTTCAAGCAGAACCTGGGGACTTACACAGAAGGCATGGGGAAGGAGGAGTTGTGTGTGGGGGGCTTCCCTCATGGCTCAGATGGTAAAGAACCTGCCTGCAATGCAGGAGACCCAAGTTTGATCCCTGGGTTGGGGAGATCCCCCAGATAAGGGAATGGCTACCCACTCCAGTACTCTGGCCTGGAGAATCCCATGGACAGAGTAGGTGATTGCAATCAAAAGACAAGGTTGGTGCTGAGATTCTGAGTTATGGGTTAATACAGGAGGTAGTCTCAACTGAATGATAGCTTGATGAAATTCTGGATGTTGTAAAAGAGCAATGAAAGTTACCCTCAATTCTTTATTGCAGGTGGCACAAGGTAGTATTTCAGGATGCGTCAGTCAGATAGTACAGAATAAGCAAGAGAAATTGGAGACGAAGGAAAGTAGCTAAGAGTTGGTTGCGACAGTCAGTGCATCAATGAGGGCGCTCTCGAGTGGGCTGCCACCGTCACATCCTGGGTCTTTGGCCAAGAAACAGGAGCCCACAGTTTGATAGAAAAATTGCAAATGGCAAAAAAATTAGAAAAAGGTACCCCTTCCCTGCTCCGATGCAGACCCAAGCTCATGTACCAGCTTGGTGATAGGCCCCAGGTCCCCTACCACTCGGCTGGGCACACGTAGCCTGGCGAAGCGGAAGGTGTTGTTGGTCAGATGAGGATGTCAGCCTGTGCCTGTCACCACCTCCACAGTCACTCACACCTTCCTCCTCTCTCCTCCTCCTAACCCATTTACTCATTCTCACCACAGTTACCTCGTTTCCTTTAGAGATTCGGTCAGATCTCACCATCTTCGTGATCTGTAGCTTCCAGTGCTTCCCTGACATTGATCCATTAAGCAGCTTTAATTTCTCAAACTTTTATAGCGGGAAAGGTGATAGGCTCAAGTCATTGAACAGCTGCATCTGTTGGCAATGACCCCGACCATTACATTAGAAATTACTTGAGATTGAGGATATGACATCTCTGCTTAGAGATGTCAAAGTATCTTTCCAGAGTATGCTTGGTAAGTGTTCTTGACCCATACTGCGCATACCGATATTCCTGTATGTTCTAGTAGGCACTGTGTCCATTTCATTTTCCAGTTTTCTAGCTGGATTGCTTCTGGGTTTTCTTCATCAACACTTAACATTTGAGATTTAGTGACTGCTAATCAAAGAAACCTGAGCTCTCAGAAGGTCCATTGGAATGTTTGGGGAGAAAATCCTCGTG